AGGGGGCTGGGGGTCCCTGAGGGGGCTGGGGGTGCCATAGTGGGGGCACTGGGTGGAGGGCCCTGAGGGGTGCCTGGAGGTGCTGGGAGGTGTTGGGGGTGCCCTATGGGTGTCACTGGGGTGGGGGTCCCTAAGGAAACAGTGGGGGAATGGGAGTCCCTGAAGGGCTGGGGCCGCTGGGCTGGGGTCCCTCAGGGACTGGGGTCCCTGTGGGAGCCCTGGGGGTCCCCAAGGACGCAGCGTTGGGGCTCCCACRCAGGAGGGGACGCCCCGCGGAAGGAGGCGGCCGCGCCGGGAGCTGCCGTCGCGCGGGAAGGCGCCGCCGGAGCCCGCCGGGATGGCCCATCTGCGGGAATTCGCCAGCCAGGTGAGTGGGGACGCCCCGAAATCCCGCGGCGGCCGATGCAACAGCCGGCACATCGCGCCCCCCTCGCCGCTCCCGGGGATTCATCCCGCTGCCTCGCGCCTCCCTGAGCGCCCGGCGGGAATCGCTGTCTCCCCGGGCGCGTTTGGGAGAGGGAGGCTGCGATGCGGGCGGAGAAGCCGCGCTCGGCAGCGTCCGCAGGACACGTCGCGTGGGAGCGTTGGCGCGAGCAGACAGCGCCGGGGCGCTCGGCGCGGAGCGCGTCCGTGCGGAGCGCGTCCGTGCCGAGGGGGACGCGGGGCCCGTGGATGAGGCGCCGAGGACGTTTTCCTCGGCGACGCGCCGGGATGATGTCAGACGCGGGCCTGGGAGCTGAGCCGCGTTGCCGGCGTCGCCGAGCGTTGGCAGCCGCCACCGCTGGGTACCTCTCTCCCCAGCCGCGTTTTTGGGAGAGCTTTGGCTTTCCGTTCTGCTCCTAGGGGGAGAATGAAGCGCTAAAAGGCTCGGTGGTCTGAGGCGACGCTTTCCCCGAGCTTCCTCGGTGTGAAATGGGTTCGCGCCGCATCTGGGCTCACGGGCTGCCGTTCGCACGAGCTGTTTTCCCCCACGGATGGGGAATTAAATGCAAATATAGCGCCTGGATGAGTCAKAAACAGGGAGAGAAATGAAAGGAAGAGAGGACGCCRTCTGGTTAGCACTGGGAAAATGTGAAGTGGCCGAGTTCAGTAGCTACAGAGGAGGTTCCTCTTAAGCTCGTAGATAAGTAGGTAGGAGAGCGGAGCTGGAAGACGCTGATAAAGCCAAGGAAGATGATTGTGACCAGGGGAGTGTGGGGCTGATGGAATTGTTTGCAGCTGGATTTACATAAATACCGGGAAGCTGCGGGTTTAGTTGYAATGTGTGTTTTTTATGTGCAGCACCCACTGAGCCTGTCGGAGGGCTGTAGCCTCTTAGTGCATTCTATGTTATAGTGTGTTAGTGCATTATATGTTATCGTGTGTTGTCTGATTGGGTCACGCTGCGACTCTCCACCTGCTCCTGGAAGAGGAAGGCAGCTGCTTCCCGGCCCTTTACAGGAATGCTGGATGATCCCTGTGATCCCAGGGCTTGCCAGAGGGCAGGGGCACCTGTGGTGATGCTCCGCTCGCCTGACTCCCGGGAACCGCAGGGAGGAATTGTGCAAATGGAGAGAGCCCGGCCCCATGGGCGTCGAAGGCCTGGCCTAGCTTGGGTTCCCAGCGGCGCTGGATTAGCTTGGACAAATCCCTAAATGGCTTTGCCTTCCCTTCCGCTGCCCGGGCTGGTGGAGCCCGGGCTCTGCTCTCGCTCCGCGAGATGCGCTCGCTTTGCAGCTCTTAGCGCAGCGAGCCCGGCTCCGATTCCGGTTCTGCTCCTCGGAGGAAGCCTCTCGAATCCTCTGACTCAGTAACGTTGCGCTGCCTGGAAGCAAAAGAAAGCTCCTTGCGAAGCCCTTTCGCCACCACAGGTTGTGTTTGCGTTTCCAGGCGCTGCTCGCTGCAGGAACTCCCCTGCTTAGCTAGACCCAGACGGTTCAAAACCGTCTCGGGCCGATTCCTTTGGCCGTTTGGAAAATTCTGTAGTTAGAGGCACTGCTGTAGTTCCACATACATCTCTGGAGACACCAGACTCCTGGGTCAGCTGCTGTTTTTAAAGTAATGTGGCCTAGAGGGGCTTGACGCCCATTTTTTGACCCTCGAGTGGCACTTGTGCAGGGGATCAGGAAACATCGGGGCTGCTTGGCTGCGACTCGCCCGGAGCTTGTCCTTTTGGGTGCCTGGATCAGCCGGAGGCCCCTTTCTGCCACAGTCACCATCCTCGCCCTGTCTCCTGGTGCCCCTCGAGTCCAAACCCTCTTCCCCTGAGGCATCTCCAGCTTGGCCTCTCCCCACCAGCCTGTTTCGCAGCGTGTTTGCTCCCGGGGGAGCCCGTCTGGGTGTTTCCTGGGATATAGGGCGCCCCTGCCGCCTCTGGGGTTGGCACGTGTGTGCAGACCCGCCGGGCACAAAGCTGGGCCTTCCTCGCCCTGGCGTTCCCCRCGCTGGCCGCCCGGGTGGCTTAACCATCAGGCAGCTCCTCGGGCCGCGGGCTGCGCCCTGGTGTGAGGCGGGAATGCAGCGTTCCCGAGCAGCGTTCCYGCGCCGGGATAGAGCCTCGCGGTGCCGGGGGAGACGTGGCCTGGCCGCCTCCCGCCCGCTGCAGCTGCCTTCAAACTGATCCCTACGGAAGGCGGAAAACGCGAGGGCGCGGAGCCGCAGCAGAGCAGGGCCTCGGGGTGGGCAGCTGCGCGGGGAAAACGATCCCGGCTGCTGCCCTTGCTCTTCCACCTCACTCTTACACCGTTAGTTTTGGATGAGCAGCATCCCGGTTGATGTGCTTCTCTAGGAGGTGTTTTTTTAATTTATTTTAAATTTGTTTTTTATTTTGCACCGGGCTGTGCCAGTCAGAGACAGCTGTTCCAGAAGAGCGAGTCTGTGGATGGAGGGTCCATCCCACTCCTCTCATTCCTCTGGGATGGTGGGTCCCTATCCACCCCTATCCTGGGATGGAGGCTCCATGGGCCTGCACGTGGGCTCGGAAGAGCTCCTTGACGTCCTTCCTTCACAGCGTCTCTCCCCTTGCTGCTCTGCACGAGGGGCAGTGCGTACAAGTTGAAACCCAGGCAGTTCCGTCTCCATGTGAGGAGGAAGTTCCTTCCCGTGAGGGTGACAGAGCCCTGGGAGAGGCTGCCCAGAGAGGCTGTGGAGGCTCCTCTGGAGATCTTCCAAACCTGCCTGGCTCTGGGTGTCCCTGCTGGAGCAGGGGGGTTGGACTGGATGATCTCTAGAGGCGCCTTCCAACCTCAACCAGTCTGTGATTCTCTGCAGTCCCTGATTCCTTCCTCTCCCCAGCACTCCAGGGTGGACCCCGAGGAGCTGTTCACCAAGCTGGAGCGCATCGGCAAGGGATCCTTCGGYGAAGTGTACAAGGGCATCGACAACCGCACCAAGGAGGTGGTGGCCATCAAGATCATYGACCTGGAGGAGGCCGAGGATGAAATCGAGGACATTCAGCAGGAGATTACAGTGCTCAGCCAGTGTGATAGCCCCTACATCACCCGATACTACGGCTCCTACCTGAAGGTAGGAGATCCTGCTGTGTTAGTGTGGTTTTAATACAAGACTGAGCTTTAACACGCTCACACGGGGGAGTGGGAACCAGGGAAGAGCGTATTGAGGGTTGAAGGAGCAATAAAACAAGGGCCAGAGTCTTTGGAGGAGAGCTGGGACAAGTGGCATCTTTCTTCCACTGAGAGCAGGGTAGGGAATCCCTGGTGGAGGCCGTTGCCATTGAGCAGGAGCAGATCCCTGCACAGCTGCTGCTGGAGGTTTCATTGGGACTGGAGCGAAGCACTTCGGAGGCTTTAGGGATCCTGAGGATTCCCCATGTGTTTTTTCCAAGGCCATCGTGCCTTTTCTCAGCCTTCTAATGAAAACATCAACGAAGCTGCGGTTTCCTGCACCGCCTCCGTTATCTCTTATCAGAACTTTGCAAATCTCAGCCTGGGAATCCCTTTGGGGAGCGAGAGGGTGTTTTGCTGATGCACCTTTCAAGTTGGCAGCCTCGTTACCGAGATCAGAGGCTGAAAAGCTCCCCTGGTGCTTGAGAAGCTGGAGATGGGCTGGAGTGAAGTCGCAGCCCGCTCCTCTTCATGGGCTGCCCAGCCTGGGGCCCGTGGCAGCACTGAGCCTGCTCAGGTAAAGCTGGACTCCAAGAGCTCTTAACCTGTGTTCTTGCTTGCAGGGCACGAAACTGTGGATCATCATGGAGTACCTGGGAGGAGGTTCAGCCCTGGATTTGGTAAGTTCTTGGTAAGCTGGAGCCTAGATTTGGGGAACGTCGCTAAGCTGGACGCTCATTTGCTGCGTGCCCTGAAAGGTGCGGGGTGGATGTGTCTCCCAGGAGAGAGAAAGGAGCCAATGGACAGAAACACAAAGGCAGCGAGCTTTTTCTGAGCAGTTCGGGTCCGTATCTGGCCTAAAAGAACCAGAGATCTGTCCCCATTCAGGGCTTGCAGGGTTGCTTGGTGCCTCTGTAGCCCTGCTCTGTGAGCAGGCGTTTCCAAGTGCTTGGCAATACTAATGATGCCTAACCTCGGATTTTAGGGGAATGCAAATATGCATTCCCTGCAATATATGCWATACCAATGCAAAATAATCAAGGTTCATTTGGCGAAGGTTGTTTGTGCTGTGCTCTTCGGCGTGGATTATGCCTTTTCTCCTTGGGGTAATAAAGTGCTTTCCCAGAACAGTAATGAAGGGCCCGACGTGAAAGCTTCTGAGCCTGCACTGGCTTAGAGGAAGGGTGTTTTAGGGGCCTGTCATCAGCAGAAGTCATCTTGGTGTCAAAACATCAATTACTGCATTGGGAAGGCTGGACCTGTTTGCAGTAGAACTGATTAAAAGGAGAAAAGCTTTGATACTCTAATACCCTGTTACAGCAGAACCAGGGGGTAAAAATGCTCCCTGGGCTGTTGTGGCGCCTCACATGCAGCTTTGGGACGTTGGCAAAGAGGCTTGAGCAGGAGAAAATAAAGTATTTCCAGAGCAAAGCAAGAGACGAGTCACTGTGGGTGGAGCATGGTTTAAGTTGCGTGTGGTAGATGGGTACAGGAAGCTTTTAATAAGTGACAATCCCCCCAGATTTTTCCCATGCAAAGATCAGTGGAGTAACGCGTGGATGTGGAGCTTGTGGAGCAACACGTGCGTGGGGCAGCGAGCGCCCGACGCGCTCGACAAAGGGTTCCGCGTGCCGAGGTGGGGAGGCTGGGAATTCTCAGGCATCTCTTGCCCTTTAAGTCAACTTTCTGCCTTTTTGCAGCTAAAGCCTGGGCCTCTGGAAGAGACTTACATAGCTACTATCCTACGGGAAATCCTGAAGGGTCTGGACTACCTACACTCGGAGAGGAAGATCCACAGGGACATCAAAGGTGAGAGGGGAGAGCTCAGCCCTTCTTCTCATAAGGCATGTTCTGAGTGTGGCTTGAAGTATTGTACAGGTACAGTCTGAAGGCTGCCTCTCTTGGGTTACTTGTTTCTAAATCTGAAACGGTTGTTTTCACTGCAGCTCAGTTTGGGCTGGTTTTAGTCTAGGGGATGTCACGGAGAGCTCCCTTCTCTGGGTTTAGTTCCGTGCGGGTTGCGGCTGGGTCAGAAACCAGCGCGCTTAGACTTGTGTGTGTGAACAGCTGCCAACGTGCTGCTTTCGGAACAAGGAGATGTGAAACTGGCCGACTTCGGCGTGGCTGGGCAGCTGACAGACACCCAGATCAAGAGAAACACCTTTGTYGGGACGCCGTTCTGGATGGCGCCAGAGGTCATCAAACAGTCGGCTTATGACTTCAAGGTGAGCTGGGCGCAGGAGAAGGGTGCTCACTTAGTGCTGCTATCCGTTAAATAGTGCTGGGATTAACACAGAGGTTGGAGATGCCTGTTGCAAGAAGGATAGTGCCCTGTCATGGTGCGGTGTCTGTGGGCAAGTTTGTAAGATATTAAGTAARTGCCCTACCTGGTTTTATGTAATAGGCTCTTTAGGTCTGTCAAAACTTGTGTGCTTTCGTGTTGCAGAACTGCCCCTTGTTGTCCACTGCGGTCACTGTTCTTGCTCCTCTCTCAGGCAGACATCTGGTCCCTTGGAATCACAGCCATTGAACTAGCAAAGGGAGAGCCCCCGAACTCTGACTTGCATCCTATGAGGGTTCTCTTCCTCATCCCCAAAAATAACCCTCCGACGTTGGAAGGACATCACAGCAAGCCCTTCAAGGAGTTTGTGGAAGCCTGCCTCAACAAGGATCCCAGATTTGTGAGTATTGCTGTCTGCCCCGGAATTYGAGCAGTGCCTTGCAGAGGCCAGAGCTTCCTTAGGAAGGAATTAAGGACAGAGCCCTATGTGCCCTGTTTTCCGTATTTGCTCCAGAGGCCGACGGCTAAAGAGTTGCTAAAGCACAAGTTCATCACGCGCTACACCAAGAAAACCTCATTCCTCATGGAGCTCATCGACCGCTTCAAGCGCTGGAAGTCCGAGGGCCACGGGGAGGATTCCAGTTCTGGTGACTCTGACATGTACGTACACTGCGAGCGGGTCAGCGGGGTGCCAGGCTGCCACCACAGAGCTCTAGCTGTGCTGGCAGAGACTGGACTGACAATGACTCTGGGAGGYTGGCCATAAATAATGCCACAAATAAGCCTGACTCCTGACGGGACACTGTGCGGGGGGGATAGGGAAAGGCCTGGAGCCCTGTACTGATATGAAGATCACATGAGGGACAGCTTGTGAATATGGGAATGCTTTGCCTTGACCTCCCACTTTGGGTTTCCAGCGATGGAGACACAGAAGATGGAGACCAGGGTCCAATCTGGACGTTCCCACCAACTATTCGCCCCAACTCCTTGGGCAAGCTGCACAAAGGAATGGCCCTTCACGGTTCCCAGAAGGTCAGTTTGCCATTTGTTCCRTCAAAAACAGACTGAACTTAACACCAGCTTGAGGCTCTTAGGATARCCAGCAGTCACTCTTGTTCTATCTAAAATTGACCCTAGTCTGGTATCAAGAAGTAGCGGCCCAGAGTTGCCTCTTCCACCTCTGTGGGGTGCTGCGAACTGAGGCTTCTCTGAGCCCTGGTTGAGGTGCTTTGAAATTCAGCAGCTGAGTAGTTGGTGGGCCCTGGCAGCCCTTGCCCTGCTCCTAACTCAGGTGTGTGCTACTTTCCAGCCTAGTGAGCCCATCAAGAGGCAGCCGCGGTCACAGTGTCTCTCCACCCTTGTCCACCCGGTTTTTGGGGAGGTGAGTAGGACCTTCTCGCTGTCTGCAGTGGTCGGAGATGAGGAGGGAGACAGAGATTTGTGCTTGGGAAGGATTCGGAGGAGGGATGTGAGGTGARGTACCTAGCACATGGATCACACAGCATGATCAGAAAGGGATGGAGCTCCGGGAGCTCCCTCCTGAGCGCCGGGGTCCCGGCTGCCTTCGGGCGAGGGGGAGACACGGGACCAGCTGCTGCTCCTGGGGCCCCCAGCCTTGCTAGCGCCCGAGCCCCCCCAGCACTGCGGGAGCTCTGCTTGTGCGAGCCGGCCCRGGCTAAAGAAGTAGCTACATAGGACCTGAAAGCAGACAGAGGGAAAACAGGCTTGGAAATCCAGCCTGGCCTCATGTTCTGGGTGGAGATGAGGAGTTAATTTTCAAATCTACTGTTAATGGTGAGATAGTGCTAGCAGCGTGACAGTGAGACAGCCTCTCCAGCGTGGTGCCAGTGGGAGGGAGCTGCTGTAAAGCCCCCTGAGGAGCCCAGCTGCAGGAGGTGGCAGGCGGCACTCGCTCAGTGGCCGCATCCTGCTGGAAAGGGGCGCGAGGCCGGGCCTCCCTGCGGCGAGGCCAGCCCCCAGCGCCGCCTTTCTGACGCCTTGCAGCTGAAGGACAAGCACAAGCAGACCGGAGGCAACGTGGGAGCCATGGAGGAGCTGGAGAACGCCTTCAGCTTGGCCGAGGAGTCCTGCCCAGGCATCTCTGACAAACTCATAGCACACATGGTGGAGCGGGTGCAGAGGTGAGCGGCCCCCACGTTGGGAGCCATCTGAACCCGCAGCAGTGTTAGAGGTTGGTGCTGAGCAGTCCAGGCCCGCAAAACAGGAATACTGGTGAGGGCAACCAGGCTCCATACAGATATTCCCACCTACCAAGTCACTCCTAACCACTTTTCATCTAACAGAATCAGTTCATTCCGCCCTAGAAAGCCCTTTTGTACACTGAACAGTTGTTGTCACGTAGGGAAATGTTGCACTGCACAAGGATGCTGCTCCCCACCTCCGCCTCCCCCAGGACACCCTGGCTGTCCCACCACCCGAGCAGTGGCCGCGCTGCAGAACAGCACCTGATCACTCCTGGGCCAGGCAGGATCTGTTCCACTGCGAGGAACGTGCTTTAAAGCACTTCTTGCAAGCAGTTGCTTTGCTTACCCAGGATCAGGTAGCAGCTCCTTAATAATAAATGGCTGAAGGGGGATTATGCAGCATCACGAGGCTCCCTGCTGCTTGGCAGGTACTGCAGCAGACTGAGTTCTGCTGCCGTCACCCTGTTCAGTGAAATCTGTGTAGTGCAGACAGCAGCATCAGCTCCTGCTCATGAGTTTATCAGGCTTTAATTCAACACTGCTTCAGCTCCATCCCAGCGCCACTCTCAGCACTCGACCTGACTCTTGCCCTTTCCTTACTGGTCAAGAAACATTACTGGATACAGCAGCAACCAGTCGACCATTTCCTGCCCTTGTTCTTTCTTGCAGGTTTTCACACAGTCGGAACCACCTGACTTCTGCCCGCTGACACCCACATTCCCTGCTGCTGTTTTGAGGAGGGAAGAAAGGATTTTTCTTTTTCTGTTTWCTTTTTGTTTTTCTGGCTTCATAAGAGCTACACATGAACCCCGACCACCATCTGCTGTTGGATGTAACATGGTGTTACGGACTCCAGGACATTTCAGAGCCTTCATGTACACGTGTTTCCATGATAACCCAGGGTGGGGTTTGCAATGCAAGTACAATTTAGACCTTTTGCAGAGCCCGAGACGGGCGGTCTAATTGTTTTTACAATGTACTCGATGCCGTTTTTAATTGTTTCCCTCTGGCTGTATCCATTTTGGCTTGGTTTGGTTCACAGCTTCTTCTAGGTAAGTGCCGGGAGAGTGGCTTYGCAGTGAAAGCTCCGTTTTCAAAGGCACCTCTGATGGTGGGTTCAGCCTCCTGCCCTTCCCAAGGAGTGTCTGGGAGCGGTACCGCCACACGCTGCTTGTTCACCAGGATCCTTTGGACTCCTTCACATGCTGGGAAAGAAAAGCGTTCAGTGGCAGTGGGCTGAAACGTTGGAGCTTGTTGGGGGGGGGTCTCTGCTTGCTCCTCCTGTCACAGGAGGGTGGAGGCGCTGCCTGTGCTCCTCTCTTGGTGTCTTGGGCCTCAGCAAAGGCTGCCGTGGGGCAGYGCAAAGAGGTTGTGCTCTGGTCTGGAAGGGCTGAGGAGCAGATAAGGGTCCTCTCCTTGCTGCTTTCTGCAGCCCAGGGGGCCACATCAGTGGCTTTTGGTGGCCCTGGACTTTAAGTTGAGTGGCCACCCCATGGTGCTTGCACCAGTGTTGCAGAAGGGTTTAAAAAAAGGATGGGGGATAAGAAAACCAAAGGCACTGACAGGGCTTCAGTTCCTCAAAAGGCAATTTCACCTTTCCTAGAGGTTTTTGAGGCAAAAAAAAAAAGCCCCTGTCCTCTGCAAGAAGGTGAAAATCAGATGGGAAASAGCAGCAGTGTCTGGCTGTTGCAGTTTGGGTAGCAAATCTGCCCCAGGCCCCCATCCCCTTCCTCTCAACATTCCCACACCGKCTCTGCTTGCAGTTTGGGAGCTAAACTGAAGCCAGGGCTTTGCTCCAGGTGCTGCTAACGTCAGCAGGGAGATTAAAGTTGCTGCTGCATCAGYGAGTTGCAGCGGAGCCACCCCATGGCGCTTTGCTTTATCGGACTAGTTCCTCGAGCAGATCTTTAATTCAGGTTGATGATCTTAAATCTCTCCTCGAGAGGTCCAGGAAACCAGATGTAGGACGCTGACTCCTGGGCGCTCTAAGCGTAAGGAGGTTGCTGTTCAGTCGGCGCGAGTCGGAGACCCCCGAGGCTCCTCTGAATGACGCGGCTGCCCYGCGAGCCGCCGAGAGCTGCTCGGCGTTCCTGTTCTTCAAGCTAGGCCCCTTTGTGCGTGAGCAAGCTGAGACTTTCCTCTTTTTTGGTACTTGGATTCAGGTTTTAAGTGTTGTTGGGCTCAGAGGGAGCACCCGTTTCTGCCGTGCCGGGGTCCTACGGCCGCTGWAGTGTCCCGCTCCCCTTTACCTTGTGCTGTAAAAGCGCGGCCGGGCCAGAGCGGTTGTGGGGTGACACTTCCCTGGGAGCCGGGAGAGCTATCGGAGCCTGTATTTATGGAAAAAATAAACACAGAACAAGCCTGTTTCCATCCCCCCGGGAGAAGGTGTTAGCCCAGAGCGAGGACACTCACGGAGGTGGAAGGCAGAGGCTGCAGGTTGGCGGAAAGGTCCCTGCTGCTTTTTTTAAAGTTGTTGTTCATGACGGTAGCAAATTGTGTCAATAAGGTACCTTGTATTATTATTATTATTATTATTATTCACATGCACTGCAGTGTAATGAGTAAAGTTTTTAAAGGAAACAAGCCCCACAACCAACCTTCAGTATTCAAAGCAATGACGGTTTTAGCTTTTCGAAGTGTTGAAAGGGAACTGCCACTTTCAATAAAGTAACAGATCCAACGAGGTTTGTGTCAGTCGTCTTTACCAGGGCAGGGACGTTTGCTGGAGCTGCAGTCACGGGACCCTTCCTGTCTTCCCAACACAGCTCTGTGCTCTGCCGGCTGCTCCGGAAGGGAGGACAGCTCCTTCTTTGAGGAGCCATGCAGTACTTGCAGAGCTGCCTTCGTCTGAGCTTTCTCCCTTCCAGGGATGTGCTCTGCCACTGCTCCCTCAACAGCTTCTCAGAGAAAGATGAGTGCGTGTGTCATTTAAAAAGAAAAATCCCCCAAAAAGCATATTCAGAGGCCCCCCACCTCRTAAATCAGCTGCCAAGTACTGCATGGCTCCTCAAAGAAGGAGCTGTCCTCCCCCCTAGGATCACATCTAGGACTAGAGGAAACAGCCACAAACTGAAGCATCTGAAGTTCCACAGGAACTTAAGAAAACATTTCTTAACAGTGAGGGTGACATCTAGTCCAATGCTCCTGYTCCAGCAGGGACACCTAGAGCAGAGGGTGGCATCCAGAYGTGTTTGGGAGATCTCCAGAGAAGGAGACTCCACAACCTCCCTGGGCAGCCTGTTCCAGGGCTCTGGAAAGCCTCACAGGAAAGAAATTCTTCCTCACAGGGAGATGGGACTGCCTGGATTTCAACTTGTACCCATTRCACCCCTTGTCCTGTCACTGGCCACCACCARTAAGAGTCTGGCCCCATCCCCTTTACATTCTCCYGAGTTATTTACACATATTGATCAGATCTCTCAGTCTTGTCTCCTCCAGGCCAAACAGGCCCAGCTCACTTAAGTCTTTCCTCAGATGACAGATGCTCCAGTCCCTTAGTCATCTTTGGCACTCTACACTGGACCCAAACCCTGCAAAGTCCCAACAAAGGATAAATTTTGACCTCCTAAACCCTGACGTGGGATTTCGTGGAAGAACTAATCTATCCTTGGCATCTTCATTGCTTTGAAAGCTTGCCAGGGTGAGAGGTAAGCGGTTTTGCCAGTAGTAATGAAGCTTCTGGCTCACAGGAGGCTCCTGCATCTTCAATGTACATGCGTTTCAGCTTTACTTTCTCCACTTAAGTTTTGCTGCCTCCTTGGGTTTTGGGTCAGGAGCACCAGGGGGTTCCTCCTTCCAGGCACTCCCCTCAAGCCAGGGAGCTCACAYGGCTTCAAGGTAGGAAATACCTAGATGAAGGTTAAGGGCTTAAGCTGCTCAAACTAAAGGATCATCCACTAAGCGACCTAAAAATAAGAGAAGACTCCGCTCCTTTCCTCTCCGCTTCAGTCGGAGCGACAACGGCATCACCCTGCYACGGAGGTGAGGTAAATACGGGGCAGGTTTTCGCACAGTTTGTGCATTAGCAGTAGGAAGGCTCAGCAGTAACGTACTATTCACCTTCAGGGGGGCTCCTGCCATCATTTTTCTAGCTGTCCTAAGGGCCTGTTTGGCCCCAGACGCAGGACGGGGCTGCGGGGCTTGCTGAATCTCAGCTTGCCCCCTGTTCTGTGTCACTCACACTTCAGTAAAGGCGCAGGCCGTCTGCTCCTCTGCCACTTCCCTTGGGCTTGGCGGTGCCTGTCTGCTGCAGGTGGAGCAGAGCTGAGACTGAGATTAGAACGATAACCTTGGAAAAACACTTTATTCAATACACCTACGCAGGGTAAAAATGTCTTAGGGTAGTAGAGCTTTCCAGAGTCAGGATTTAAGTCMATGCAGTCAATGCCTGGGGCTAAGGAGGGGGCAGAGATTTGGTCAGAGGCCACCCCCTTGCTGAGGAAATCCTGCTCTTTCGCTCCGGACCTTGTTACTTGAGTCCTTCCTTGCAGGAGAGCAGCAAAGGGCTGCCAGGGCCTGGGAGAGTCCTCATTAAAGAGGAAAACCCTCCTGGGAAAAGACTTTGGGATGTCGCCCTCACCAAGCAGTGTGTGTGGGCGGGTATCATCTAGAAAAACAGCTGACCTGAAAAATCCATTAATAAGGAGCATGAAAGCTCCAAGCTCGGACGAAACTCAACGCTTCCATGAAGATTCCACCCGCCCTCCCTTGCCCACCRCAACTGAGGAGGTGGAATAAGAGGCTGAGAGTGTTTTATAGCAAGAAGCTATTTACTTTCAAGAGYCATGTTCAACTAGGTGATAACATACGTCCTCAATTCACAGTCACACACCCTACAACAGTTGATTAAAAAAAAAAAAAGAAAAAGATGATGCTAATAAATTAAGTACATTTAACTTACACTGGACAATGGTCATTGAGAGTGGTAGTGGAGACTGGATCTGCTGTCGCTCTTCTCCATGAAGCAAAAGGCAGGTGAAGGGTCTGGAAATCTCTCTGGACTCCATTGCCTGCAATCCTCATTCTTTTCCATGCAGGACGTATTTAGCCCACAGCCCAACACAGCCTAGGAGCCTGCATCCACTCGCCTCTCTCCTTTCCCCTTCCCCAGGATCTTGCCGTTCTTCCATCCTCACAACATACAGCACTTCCATTTTTCTTTCCTTACACAAGTTCATAGTTTCCTCTCCTAGTACAYACAGTTTTCTACCTACAAGATAAACGGAGTCCCTAGAGTCCACCGAAACCAAGCCCAACAGCATTTTGTGGCACTTAGCTTGTGGCAACCACCTTGACCAAAACAGAACAAACAGCAAGCACTTCAGAGTTGATACAGAGGTTTAATAGAGTCCACAGACACTAATGCTCCAGCTAGAATCCAGTGACTTTTACACCTTCATGTGAAATGAAAGATAGGGCTGTCCCATATTTCAAAGTAACAACAGGGATTTTAAAAGTCTTTAAGTGACACAGAAGCACAAGCGACAGTGACTTTCAGAGGAGCTTGTCCTCCCATACTGCTTAAACAACCTGAAAACATCACCCCCAGAAGGGTGGACAGAGCATTTRCCAGCCCCTGCCTTAAGTAACACCTGTTACAGGATGAAGAGACATTGGAGCCGTAATATGAGAACAGCAGGTGACCTTCTCAGCATGCAACTTAGCGGACTTCTAAGGAAAAAACCATGCACCCTACCTGGACTGACCCACAGTCCTGGCACCTCAACAGCCTAGAGGTTCCGGCTTCCCCCTTCCCCTACAAAATTGCTGCCATAACAGCTTCCAAAGAGCAGAATTGTTCTGCAGTTTCTGGTCAAAATTAACTGAGTTAAAGCAAATATATCTGCGGACCCCATTAGTCTAAAGAGACTGCGGCAGCAGGTCGACAGTAAGAGCAGTGAGTGAGACAGCAGCTCTTAGCTCAGGGGAAGGGACCTCCTGGGAGCCAGCGAGCCTGACAGCAGCGCCCACAAGCCAAACACACCACTGGCAATTGCTGGCTTGTCTCTCGTACATGCTGGCCACCCAGTCACAACGTAGAAAGAGGTGTTGGTTGCCTTCAGGACAGGCAGGGGTGCAGGCTTGGTACAAAACACCTTCCACCAAGTGTTGCACGCCGCTGTTGTTAGCTGCTCCCTAGGTAGGTTCAGCTGGAGCAGACCTGACCCTCTTCCACACTGTGCAGTCCGTAACAGCCTCGCTCTCACTTTCCAGACAGGGAGGAAAGGAGCATCCTGGTTCTTTGCTTTAGCKGCTCCAGGGACTCCTGTTTCCACCCACCTCTTTTACTCTGGATTATAGCAGAGATCCAGCTCTGCCTCCCTTCAGTCTGTGTGACTCCCCTTCTCATCTTTAGGAAGCAGCAGGTTCGATCTTGCAGGAGAGTTGGTAGCTCTCTTGATCACCTCCATCCACCTAGCAAGGAAGACATAACAGGACATTAGGATGCTCAACCCCTTGCTCACTGTCACCTCAAATGACAGCGGATTGCACTACTTTGACTGGATTGCATTAYGTTGAGCAGGCATCACAGAACATTTTCTAACTCTTTTTAAAAAGTCTTTTAGGAAATTAATCACTCTGTGTTAGTAAGTTAATTCTTCATATGAATAGAAATAAACGAGGGAAAAGACTGGAGCAATTAGAACATATACAATAGATTGCATCAGGAAAAGCTTCTGGGCTCTAACAGATGGTCTCTTTTAGCAACATTTCTATTCCTCAAGAGTTCAGGCAACTTGTGGGCACGTGAACTGGTTCTCCCATTTCAACTGACTACAGGAACATGGAAAACTACCACCACAAGACACTTCAGACACTCSATGTTCCTTATATCAAGCTGAAGTGTTTCACCAACTTCATCATGTTCTGGATATCTGGTATTTTCAGGTTTCTTGAGTGTTTTCCCAAGAACTGGAAGTGCCAAGACAAAAAGTAAATAAATAAATAAATAAAAGGAATAGGAAGTGTTTGAGCTGTTCAGCCTGAAGAAGAGAAGGGTGAGGGGGGCTCTGATAAGTGTATACAAATAYCTCAAGGGAGGGAGCGAGGAGGTTGGTGCGACCTTTTCTCAATGGTGGCCACTGACAGAACTAGAGGAAACAGCCACCAAGGGAAGCACCAAATGTTCCACAGGAACTTAAGGGAAAAAATCTTGTCAGTGAGGGTGACAGAGTCCTGGAACAGGCTGCCAAGAGAGGYTGTGGAATCTTCTTCTCAGGAGATCTTCAAAACTTGCTCGGACCCAGCCCCGTGCCATCTGCTCTAGGTGATTCTGCATGTGCAGGGGGTTGGACTAGATGATCTCCCAAGATCCCTTCCAATTTTAATGATTCTATGATTCTTTGTTAAACTAAAGGCCAGAGAAGACCCAAGTTATGTTTCTAAAGAAAAGAGTCAGCAATGGAATGGGAGCTAAGTGGACAAATCTATTTTCTTCCTTTCTTTCTAAGGGACAATCCAAAAAATTGTATCAAGTTGCACTTCCTGCTCTTACAGACTGATTTTTATTGCATTAAACCTAGTTTAAAATGGAACAAATACACTAAAGAGCAAAGCCACCTGTCCAAAGAACAATCTACAGTGCTTTGAACTCCAGACTATTAGTGTCTATTAGTGTGCACTGTCATCWCTTCTAACTGTTGCCAGCCTATCCTCTCAAGTCATATGGGCTGCTTTTCTTACAGTAAATTATGCAAAAGATTCTCAACTCTTGCTAATATGGAAAAAAAAACAGAGTGACAATGAAAAAATTAAATTCTGTGATTTCACAGAACCACAGAACGGTGGTGGTTGGAAGGGACCTCTAGAGATCATCTMTTTCAACCCCCTGCTCCAGAGGGGCTCCCAGGGCACGGGGTGGCAGCCAGGCATTTTTTCCCTGGTAGTTGATCTGCACGTTGCTCAGTAACATATAATATACTAATGTGTGATGCTCTCCCAAGGGAGGGAGTGAACACGCAGAGACTTCTCAGTAACAAAGCACTCCAAAACTGTACATGGTCCGTTACAAATCCTATTCATTCAGCACCAYGTTTTGGAGCTAGAAAACTGATTTCCTAGAGCTACCTACAGGGCTGAGCATCTCACAGCTACTTCCCAGCTCCAAGGGAGCTCTGCCCTCCTGAGACGCTACTGAGCCTACAGCTCTAGCTGTAATCACCAGCTTTTCCTTTGCAAGGAGGAAGGGTCTGGCGGAGGAGGGATCTGCAAACGTTATGGGTGCAAAAAGGGAACTTTCTCACTGGGAACATGCTGCGTCTTCTGGAAGGACACTTGGATGGCAGTCAGGAGCTCTAAGTACCCTAACTTTAGACTCCTAGTTAATGAACTAACAGCATGGTGTATTCTGAGACAGAAAAGAAATCAGGAAATTACCTCTCAAAGGTATATTTGCTCTCAGCCCTGAAGAAGTACACGTGAGACTTGAACTGYAGCTTGAAGACGTAATCCTTCTGAATGCCGTCTGCCTCCACAGGGGAGCTGACCACGTAGCCAAGGAGCGGGAGACTGGCCAGCGGGAAATCGTCCTGGAAGAGCCCAAGGACACAGGTCTTAGCATGAGGCACCCGCCGTGGCTCCAAGGCAGCCAGACTGAGCGTTGCCTCTTTGGCTTAAGACTTAAGACGGTCTTAGTATTTTATTGGGTTACTGAAAAGGCACTGTTTCTCACTCTCCTTCAAGARTTGAAGAGTTGGCACCCTGAAGTGGCCTCTTTGGGCTCCTGGTCACCTTTGCCTACCTGGTGCGTTTTGTAGAAGAACAAGCAGAAGTTGGTGAAGACGACCCACAGTTTCTGCCAGCCATTGCTGTTCTTGAACTTCCGTAGCAAATATCCCGAGAGCTGATTCTGGGAGGGAAGGAGAGGAAACCTCCCGTGAGATCACAGCTTGCTTTTCCTTGAGGAAACCGTGGATAAAACCTCCAAAGCTCCCGCATAGCAGCTCTTGCCCTGTGCTCCCAAAGGCCTCTTAGATATTTCATATGGGAACAGAATGACTTTGTATCTTCAGTTCACTAATTCTACCCAAGTAAATCTCGTCTCTTTGCCCACTAAGTGTTTTCTCTCCATAAGAGAAACTTCTCTTACTCCATGTTTAAGTGTTTGCTGTAACTCAGAGTCACTCAAGATAATACAAAGGAGAGAGCTGCACCCATTCTTCCCCCAGCTGTCTCTGGACTGATGAATCCTTTGCAGCCTACAGTCAAGAAAACCCACTCAGAAAAGCACCAGCCACAAAGGCACTTATCCCCCCATTTCCCTTTTTCTACTCTCCAAAATAATAATAATAAAAAATAACAAAGCAGAGGGGAAAACGGACTGGTAACGGAGGCTGGAGTGACGGACAAGGACGCAGCAGCTAYGCGAAGCCAAGCGGGCCGCAGGAAAGCGCTGCGCGGGTTAAACACGCTGAGCTTTGGCGTGGCAGGATAAAACCTACGGCACGGGACAAAAGCAAGGGCAGTTGAGAATTAAAGAYGGAAGAAATGGTGGAAAACCATGAAAAACCATTTGGGAAAGCAGAAATAGGAGGGAATCCTGCACTGAGGAACCGTTAAGGCTCTGTTGGTGGATGGTTCGGATGCTTCACGCTAGTACAACTTCTGGGGTTTGCTATGGAATTATGGAGTAAGTGGTAAATTTTGTTGGGAATCCCCTGGTTCCTCCCACCAGTGGTGAATTTGGGGTGTTTTTTTACCTGAATCATGCACAGGTAATCAGACAGGGAAAGGCTCTGGTTCCGGTACCAGCAAACATGGGTGATTGTGTTGGGCCGTTGGGCCTGGCCCAGCAAATAGCGAGGAGGAAGCTCTGGAGAAACAGCAAGAGAGCAGAAAACTGAGCGGAGAAAAGGGGGAGAAAAAGAGAGAGARAAAAAAAAACAGACATTAGGATAAAAGAAGCAAGACATGAGAAAAGCATCTGTTAAAGGAAAAYGGATTGTGAGGGGGAAAAAATGGAGGTGTTAGAACATGAAGCAGATGAAAACAAGAGGGTGGCACAAGAACCGGCCTGTTGAACCCCAGAGCCTGCAGCACGCTGGTCTCCTCATCCGGACAGGACACGGCAAAGCGGTGCCTTTTGCCAGGCTATCATCCTGGGAAGGAAGGCTGCACCCCAGGAACTGTCTTCTTTGCTGGCTAAAATGTACAACTTCTGGACACGAAGCCAGCGGACCCTGTCTACAGGAAAATTGACCCRGCGAGCTGATTCATGCTACATGCAGCCCGACAACACAGAGGCTTCAGCGCCCGGCTTTTAGCTCCTACCATTGCACCAAAAAGAGGGGCGAGGGCGTCTGGAAGGTGCAAATACACAGGGCAGCACCTGAACTATCAGCGTTTTCCTAGTGAGCAACCTCCTCTTTCTCTTCAGGGTATTCTGGTACATCCCTGCTTGTGGAGGCCCCTGGGATGGTGGCCTCCAGGAGGGTGTCCTGCAGAACAGCCACTGAAAGGGAAGGTGGGCGCCAGTTCCCTGGTCTCCATTGAGGAATCTGGAATTTACGGTCTTGATACGTGCAGGATTTGGTACAGGAAGGCGCCCTCAGCGTAGGTGCTGCACGGACCGCGAGGCAGAGCAGCAGCACCCAAGGCAGCAGCCATGCAAAGAGCAGCCAGCCCGAAGGAGTTTGGTCCTAGGGATCTCCAGGTGTTTCGCTTGGCCAATTCCCTCTTYCGGAGGATCTGCGGAAGCAGAGCCCTGCCGCGGGAGCGTGGACGCACGGACATGCACAGCGACGGGCCAACATGCAGAACACGGAGCCGAGGGCGACGGGAGGCTGCGGCAGCGCAGCCGGACAGGGAGAGACCCGTGAGCGCTGCGCCCCGCGGGGTACCTCGACGGCCACACTGTGGTCGCTCATGGAGACGCTGGTGTTGCGGTACCAGCACACGTGCATGGTTGTGTTGGCCCGGTGGTGGCTCTGCCTGTCCAAGGAGCTACGGGAAGAGTGAGTGTCATCTTCGGACTCCTGCTCTAGGGAGACCTCATCAGAGGATCCTGGGGGAGGAGAATTCAGCAGCTGTTTAAGAATGGTGTGAGACAAGGACAGCGAGAAAAGCAGGAACGCCTCAAACTGCTGGTGTTTGTCTGCTAGGAGCCAGCTTGAAAACGAATCTGTCTGAACTTGTCACTCAGCTCAGCTTCGGGTTGCTGACTCAGTATTGCATAATTTTGTTATTTAATCTTAATAGGAGAAAAGCATTTTACAGCACSCAGGCAGGGGCTGAAGGGAGATTCCCTTCTTAGCGAGGAACTGGAAAAATTGCTCTAAGGAGGGATATTATATGTGGTTCTTCATATCCATGCCAACATCGGAGACAGGCACAAGACTGCTGGGCTACAGAAATGACTGCAAAGATAACTTTTCTGGGAYGAAATCATATTACATTGCTAAATGGGGAAGAGAAGTAGGTAAGTGATAAATGAGAACCCAATAAAACTAACTGTTCTRCAGCTGAAGGATCTCTGTCGGCTTTAACCTACCAGAAACATCAGGCTAGGAAGAYGAGCATATTTATTCCAAATAAAAGAGGACAAGAGCTCTCCTTCACTGTAAGAATGATAACATACAGCATTTATGTCATCAACTTTCCAACAAGAAAACAAAAAAAGGGGACATCTCAGCTCACTCTGTTCAAGAAGGCAAGAAGCGCTACTCACTGTTGGAACGGTTGCATACGGAGTTTTCCAGAAGCATCTCAGACTTCTCTGTGGATTTCTTGGCCATTTCGATTGCCACATTTAGGTCTTCCATCCACTTGCCCATCTCCAGGCGGGTACTGCAACACAAAACAGGACAAATGTCACCTCCCTGGACCCAAAATGTCATCACAGAGCTGCATTTCTCCAGGAAGGCAAAACTCCCAGCCCAATACAAAAAGCCATCCTTTTCCACTCAGAAAAGATATCAGAATTCCTAGGAAATGTGATTAATAGTAGCCTTCCTGATATGAAATGAGTTTTCTATCACTTTCCCTGCCATTTTCAAGCCACCTGAGAAAAGTTTAACATAGCCACTTAAAAACCTTGGGCTGAATAGGAAAGAGAAAAAAAAGACTATGTGAAATCTCCCATTTGTCCTCAGAAGAGKAACTACCCAGCGTGGATCATCTCTGTTCCTCACACAGAGCAAAGCTCTTCATTTAAAGGGTTTCAGAGCTACTTCAAATCCATAATTACCCTTCCACGCTAACAAGAGCCCTTTGGAGATGCAGGATGATGACCCTGGAAAGGACGATTCAGAGGATGAAAGGCACCCTGAACCCAGCTTTCCAAGGAGATACATGATTTATCTTCCATCTCAAGCAATTGCAACACAGGCTGCAGGAAGATGAGGGTTTATTTCAGCCCATACAGACCCCTGCACAGGTTGCACAGCTGCGACCTCAAGTCTTGGTGTTCCCATTCCCATGGGAATGCAACAGCACCAGGTTTCTCCATCCAGAAGCAAACACAGGCTCGACATTTCTTCTTCTCCTCCTGCTTCATTCCCTGCCTGCATAGGTTTTCTTTAAAGTGTTATATATGTTTCCATGGAGTATTTGATGGGGCATTTTGTTGTAACCACCTTTTTTTTGCAGTAGCTCAAATTCCAGACAGTTTTCCATTTAGACCGTGCTTGGCGTTTGCAGTCTAAGTCAAGCTGTACTTTTTTTTCTGATAGGTAGGGAGTCAAAGGTAAAAAATCCCTTTGAACTATTTCCAAGTTATGACAACCTAAAAAGAAATATATTTACTTTCCAAATTTAAGACCATTTCAGGCACTTTTTGGCTCAACAGTTGCCTGGAAATGGTTGACCTTAAAAAYATGTGACATTCTGAGGTGCCAGACAGGAATAGGAAAAACAAATAAATAAATTTAAAAAAGCAAGCTTTGCTTGATGAATATGTGAGCACACAGAGCACTGGCTGCTACGCCACCACTACCTACCTGGCTTGATAAATGTTCAATAATAGTTATTTTTTGAGAACAGGAGCTAGTAACTAGGAGAAACAAACACTACAAAATCAAAAACTGAGATTTACTGACCCAGTTCTGCATTCCCCACAGAAATAACTCTGACTGCTTTCTAGGGAAACTGTAGGTGTTGAAAGCCACCTGAAGTTGAACCTGAGAGCCTTGGTGGAGGGATAACCCCTCACCCTAAACTATGTGTCTAGGGAAAGCTTACACTGAAAAGAAACTGGCTTGCTCTCCAAGCTAAGCTTTAATTATTCTCTCCCCTCGCAGCTTCCTTCATGAGACCTATCCAGGGACTGCCCCCTCTTTACATCAATTTGGATTTCTGGGTTTCAGTTCTTTTTGGTTCTCTACGAGTTGCACATTTAGATTTTAGTTTGTCTCCTGCTTTGTAGCAGTTGCTTTGTGGGAATGACACCAACAGCTCAGCCGACCAGGAAAAAATATAATGGCAACCATACTGCTGCCAATGTCCATTTAATGATCTACTGTTTGCTTATCAAGTTACTCCTTCCTGAAAAACAATATTGATAAAAGAATTGGGAAGTGTGATGTATTTGTTTTAAAGCTGCCCTTTCTGGGAAACCCATGAGATACCATCCTRGCTCTGCACTAAGTCATCAAACTTTAACTCTTTGGAGTAGCACATATTAACCACAAGCAATTAAGGAAAATTAACAGTACCTTGCTGCCACTACTATGGTTTTCTGTGCTGAATAGATTGTGAAGCAGTGTGGGACAGCCCATTCGTTCTCACTCTCCTCTACCTGTGGAAAAAGCAAAGGGTTTTCTCGTCACTGCTCAGTGACTGATAAATCCTCAAAACTCCTTTYTGGGGCTGAGTAGGACTTTTGGTCGCAAGACGACTACAACACAGTTGCAGAAAGTGCAAAACAGCTACTGTTTAATAAATACTGCCTAATTGCAGTCTATTTTGGCTCTACATGGAAATCTGCATTGTTCTTCTAATGGCACATCTGCAGCTGCACGGTGCCACATCCAACAGGACCAAAGAAGGGGGATTCTGAGCAGGACGGAACTCATTACTTACCGGGGGGTCAAGCACTATCAGCTGCAAATCAAACACAGAAAGAACAGTTGCATTAGAACATGCAGGGAGGGATGCAGCAGGGATTGATTTTATGCTAAGAGGCAGGGAAAAAACAGCAGGATAAATYCATATTCTCAGATTGGCCTTTCACAGCAACAACTCGTCAAACAGGGGCGTTCCAGATGTTTCGCTGACAAGAGGGAACGAACAGGTTTACTCCCAAGGACAGCTCTGTGTTTAGCACATAGGCTAAGGCACTCTGGAGGTCCAAGTCCACAATCAGCAGCACCAGAGGCCACAGTGATGGCAAAGCTGCTTTGACTCGCACTGCAGCAGGTTGCTGCTTTGGTCATCACAGCCCTGAAGAAATAAATTTCTCAACCTGATGCAAAGTTGTTTCTTTAACACGGTGATGCAATTTGAAGCCACTTACCAACATGCCATGCAGAGGAAGATGCCCGTGAATTTTGAATTGATTTGTCCCTGTAACACCTTTGCTTGTGTAGAGCAACATATCTGAGAACTGAAAAATGAAGAGAGGTACAATGAATACTCTCCAGATCATAGTTAGTGCCAAGTATTTTTTTGACATCTTTATAAAAACTAGTGTTTGGAAAGACACCTGCCTTCCATCCGTTTGGCTACTTCCCTTAAAAGTAATTGTGTTTATATAACACAGGCAATTAACTTCAAAAATTCTGTTAAACATGCCAAGAAAGAAACAACCTGAATGGGCTGCTTTATCACAGCCCCTGCTGCATATAAGAAAATCCTAACATGAAAACAGTTTCATGGCAGCTTTATCTTGAATACTTTAGGTTTATGAAAAGTAGAAGCAGCACCTACCAGAAAGAACATCCGTTGCTGTAAACCTTTCTTAGTGAGCTTGTACAAGCAGCCTTCCCGGATAAACTCCTGCAGAAAACAAAACAAAAAAAAAAGAGTCAGACAAAGCTCCATCTCTCCCAAACGCACAGAATTTGGATGCTCCCACGCTCAGCAATAATTGCTAAAAATTTTGCTAAAGGCCAAGTTATGCCTTTGCTTCAGGTCTCCATGAAATCTCCATCCACAAGAACAGATCACAACAGAAGGAGATAAGCAGAGCTGGTAGCACACCTCCTATTGCATGCGTGATATGCTGTGTCCCACACAAACAGTGAGCCAAGCATCCCTTTCGATCCAGTGGCTGCTGTACCACAAACAGGAAACTGCACCCATGGTCTAAACAGTAGGATTTTTGTCCTAGTTCCCTATAGGAACATCATGAAAAGGTAAATGTGACTAATTTATAAAGTCAACTATCATGCAAAGCCTTCATATCATTCCATAAAATATACAGTGAAAGGTCGTGACTGTAGACACATTGTTGAAATGAACTTCCTTGGAAATAAAGGAAATAATAATAATAGTAATAATAAAAAGGCTCTAAAAATTAAGCAATGTTACTTACCCTACCAGGTGCTGTGAGATTATCAATACCAATTAAGTCATGCTGCAGCTCTGTCAGCTTCTGGAAATTCTCCAAGCGGATCAGGCTGTGCTGGAGTTGAGACGTCATCTCCGTGACTTCCTTCAGCGCATCTGAAAGCAAAACAGCACTAACAAGATCAACACAGAGCACATGAAACCCAAGCTGCAAATTTTGTCATAAAARCATAACTAAACACTGCTCGAATTAAGTTGCCACTTGGAAATTAAGCTGTAGCTACTCCTGTCAGCTTTCTGCTTTTCTGGTTGGTATTTTCCTTKTTCTTTCTTTTCTCRGGATGTTAAAATCACAGCATTCATTTAGCAGCAGGATTTGAGTCAGAAAGATGAATTACACATGGAAATCAAACTCCAAATGGAGAAAAAGGGGGTTTATATTGAATTTGTAGAGGCAACACTTGCTGTCTGCCACTGGATGAGAACGTGCAGACTGTGGCACTTGCTCAGGAACAGGTTTCTGCGGAGCGCTCACTCACTCCGGCAATCCGCGTAGTCCCGGTGCTCGGTCGTGTAGTGCTTGCAAAGTCTCCCCAGGATCAGCTTGTAGTGCATCAGCCTCTGGATGGGTTTGAGCAGAAACGTGTTGAGCGGCAGGTAGCAAACTTTCTGCAGCTCAAACTCCTTGTAAACCATTTCCAGTTTCTTTAGGCGCTTCGTTGCTTTCTCCAGTTCGGTCAGGACCTCATCGTGCTTCTGCAAGTAACTGGTAAACTCCTGTTCAACCACATAAAACATTACTAGTTACATAAAAAATTCAATCTCACAAAAATTACTAAAATGGTCTTTAATAGATTTCATAGCGAATACAACAACAAAAAGATCTGCATTCCTCTTTACGTGGTACTAATCATGATTATAATCCAAGACTGCACATGTGTCTAAATGCAACACCAACATCACTGAGTGTTTTTATTGCTTCATCAAAAAGCACTACTATAAAAAACGTATTTGCCCAGTTGTTCTCTTCACTTTATATTGTGGCAGAACAAGTTAATAATGGCGAAGTTTTAAATAAATTAAATAGAAGCAAAGTCTCCGTATTTCCCTGTTTTTATATTTCTTTTCTATGGTTTTGTATTTCTTTTCAAACCATTGGCTGTAGTGCATTAGTTATTCAGTCATTGCAGCACAATTTTAACTGTCTCATGAAGCAGTTTACCAAATAAAAGTGACTGCGTTTCAGGACAAGCTACTCTGCAGTTAAAAAAATACTTGAATTTTGGAATTTAACCACCTTGCAGAAAAATATCTGTGTTGAAGAGAGTTGTGCCAGTAGGGGAAGACAGTKAGACTAATTAAACTAATTTTTCTTTGTCAGCTCATCAGTAACCAATAAATATGAAGCCTTTTGTCAATGTAAAKGCAGGAGGTAAACTGGGCAACACTGGTACACAGACTTGTTGTACATATTCTATGATGTTTTAACTTTTAATTGGTTTAGAACAACAATTGCCTGTAAGACACTTCAAGCTAAGTGAAAAACATTGAAGCTCAAACTACCACCCTCAAAAACTGGAAAAAAAAGATCCATAACCCTGAAATTTCATTACTCCCATCTTTACCTACCTTTAGGGTACGCATATTCCTGAGCATGACATCTCCAATTCGTTGATAATCTCCTTTAACCTGAGCACTGGATCTTCCTTCCCTGAAAAGCATATAAAAGCATTTAATTGTATCTAACCATCTAGTTTGTCCTCTCCAGAGCAGAAAGCTCAGAGGTAGAATAGTCAGGTAAGAGTAAATAATTCACTTCACTAATGCAAAAAGAGAGAGAGCAAAAACAGGCCAATATATTAACATCACTTTAAGAGGAATAAAAGACCTCCTTTTGAATGGTATTTATTATGTCTCGGGTCAGAAGAAAGTAACGTGAAGGTTAAAAAAATCAAAAGTATCTTCTGAAATGAGAAATATTTTGTGCTGCAATAGCTGAACAACTCTATACTTATTTACAGGAGAGGAAAAAAAAAGGCAGAATAGAAAAGGCATGGCTCGAAAACAGACTTTGCAAAAATTATTCGGTCACTTTTCAAAAATCCCCATATATCGAGATATTTTTTTCCCTTGGCTCTATTTAAGCAGAATTCCAATTCTGCTTCTGTTTAGAAGACCAATTCAAGTATRGATTGCATATGGTCTTGATGTAAGGGGAGAGGAAAAGGCCTTCCCTGATTATTGCCCATGCACTTGACTGACACTTACCAGAGTGAGAGCCTTTGCTCAATCTCCTTCAGGAAGCCCCGGTGAAACTCATATATTGGGTCAATGTTAGAGAAGAGCAGCGTCATCAGGCCTTCAGGCATAGCGTTCTCCTTGATGACTGCRCTGCGAAACCACTGAAAGAAACATCAGAAATGATTATTTTTCATATATACTTGGGCCCTTTCTATCATTTCTGCTCCTGCAGGTTGTAGGGGAGAGGAAAGTGCAGCCGTGTAGGGAAACAGCAGGAGGAAAGGAGAGCTATTTAAGGAMGATGTCATGCCTTGCCACACACTGCAAACACGAGGCTTATTATGGGCTCCAGGCACAAGCAGGTTTCCTAATCCAGTGCTGAGATGTTTTGTAACTGCTCTAAATCACTAAATTACTGAATGGCTGGAACATGCCCACGGCGGCCGCAATGCAACTGCTTTTGTATCAAAACATCCACAGCTGCTCCTTCATCAAACTCGCAGCATTGTGCGAGTTATTTAGTAGTGGAGGCATTTCGTATTTTACATACTGTTTCTTTTCAATTATTAATACTCCTGTTTTCAACGCCCAGCTTTCTCAATGGGATGTGAACATGCCAAAAACTATCAGAGGACCCAGATGTTTCACAATCACCTAGGAAAAAAGTTTGGGGAAGTCCAAARGAAGAATTTCAGCGAGAGGACGCTCCCTGAATTCTTCCAAAATTGCTCAAGGGAAGATGCATGGCATGAGGAAATCATACTTTTCTCTTTTAATGTAGATATTTATAAAAACACCATGGCCATAATGTTCAAAACGGGAGTAAAGTAAACAAGTAACTCTTAAAGAAAGATATACAGAAAGAACATTTTCAGGCTATCCTTAAGACTCCTACGTTCACAGTTCTCGACAATAAAGTTTGCCTAAATCKCCAAAGTCTGCCTGAACCTTATGGCCTTCATCTGTTACCTAGAAGGAATTACAGGATTTTTCTTCGAAATTAATGATGTAAAACATAATAAGAAAAGGATATCCATTAAAGCCATTTCTAAACCCTTACCACRGTAATAACTTCCAGGTCCTTCAGATAGGTCCTCTCTGTAGCGAGAATCTCCTTCGCTATGAAGTAAGCCTTGTCGGCTGGATAGCGCTGAAAAAAACCCAAGAAATCAGCAAGTAGTGATATGTAAGGGCTGTATTGATATATAAGTGCTCTAGTACTCAGCACAAGTGCAAATGCAGCAACACATAGCTCTAGGCAGAGCTTGTATCATTCTCCTCTCCCACGGCAGCTTTCCCAGACACGTTTAAAAAAGTTGTTTAAGGAGCTACTCTCAAGTGATGCCAGTCGCCGAGTATTTTCTTGAGCCCTCTGGGAGAGATTCTTCTGCTATGATCCTTGCTTGACTGTTTTTACCCTGCTTTCAAAAATATCATTGCAGATTGTTTTATTCCTTAAGCAACAAGGCAAAAACATTCATGTCCAGAGCCTTGCCCTTAATCATTCTTTGCAGCCTGTTTTAATTGCATTAAAGTGTCCTTTTTCATTACTTTTGAGCAGCTCTGCAAGCTCCCACCTTATTCATCAGCTGATGCGCAAAATCTCATCATTTCCCAAGTGTTTTCCTTTTGTCTCTCTTCATTGTATCCCTGCTTTTTGTTCACTTTCTTGCTACTTTCCAATTGTTCCCTGCTGAAATTCAGGGTGTCTCCCCTCTCTCACTTTGTTTTTTTCAGTCATGCATTAGTTCAAGGCACTGGTAGGCTGCTTTGAGTGCATAATGACTTAAAATAATAAGTAGCAAAAGGAAAAAGCAAGCAAGCCTCACATAGTGCATTTTCAGTTCTAGTTTTCTAGCTGCAGTGACAAGCAACACAGCTGTCGAAGTGCAAAAGGGGATCTGTCAGAAACCTTTGTTACTGGTCAGGCACTGGCAGACATGGCTGAAAAATGTAAATAGGCAAATGATGGAGACCCACTGCAAAAAATATAAAGAGCATTTCTGTGTGCACACTCGCACGTGGCAGCCTCCAAACACTCGCTACATGCAGAAAGAGCAAGTGATGCTGAACGGAGGGGTCTTCTCTGCAAGCCAAGAGGCAGAAACACATCGGGCAAAAATAAAGACCATGAGACACCAGTAGTGCAAGAATTAAGAGACTGTTTTAGCTTGCTGTCTGCTTTGCACCTACATTACAATGTCACCAAACTATCAAAAAAAAAAAAAAAAAAATCACTCGGCATCCCCACAATGTCTGGGAGCAGAAAGCTCACAGTTCTGCTTTTAGTTCTTGGGGTTAGGTTAAACCTGCTTGGCTCAAGCCAAACCGAACCTCTTGGGTTTAAGAATTTGCTAAAAAATGTTCAAAAGGGACCGTTGGAGACATTTTGACTATTTGTTTCCCTTCATTATCTCTATGAAACGGGCCTGTACTCCAACCTACCTGCAAAATAACACAAGTCTTGCATTTAACAAAAGAACATCACAGCACACACAAAGGAGTCTAACTGAAAATATGAGGCATGGTCTGGAACAGGAATCTAATTAGCTCATACCCAAGTAGGCCTTGGTTAGACTTTGATTAACTAAGCAGAATTATAGCAGCAGCAGCACCCTTAAAATTAAAACGCCACTGCAATTTTTTTTTTAATTTTAATTTTAATTTTTATTTTATTATTATTATTATAACTATAGTAAAGTAGCTGGGAAATTTAACTTGTCACATTGGCTTTAGCATTTTTTTCGTCCCCACTTAAAAAAACTGTTTCTCAATGAAGATTGCAGACTCAAMTGACTCAGAAATTGGTCAAGCTAAAAATCAACTGCAATAAACAATTCCCTTTGAGGTATGTAACTTACAGATCAGTAAAGTACAGGTGAGGTAAAATTTCAGGTCAGCCTCAAAGAGAACTCAATCTGCTGAAATACCAGGCTTGGAAAATCAAGCAGAAAGGACTGGACTTCAGCATTTAGAAGAGACAGTGCAGTTACTGTTTGCTATCTCCACGTTACAACTATTATAAATGCCAGTAATTTTAAACCCCCCGAAAAACAGTAAAAAGCTATAAGGCTATATGGCAGCTCACACAGGAATTGAGACTTCAGGCTCAGTCTTATTTATTAAAAAATAACTTGCTAGCACTCAGTGATTCAGTGTAAAACTACACATTGATACCGGGTTATGTCCCTATATACAAATTCCTGGAGTTTTTAAAGCTGCACAAGTGCCTGCCGGCCTTAACTGTGCCCTGGCCAAGTTGAAAAGCTGAAAATGGACCTGAAAMGTTTCATTTTTATGGCCCTTGATATGCAGCCCCACCTTGATAAGTCTAATGCAGAAGGCAAGGCTGAAGGCCCACGTATATGTGGGAAGGAATGACCCCAGTTTTATATCAACTCCCACTTGTTCATGAAACCTTCTCCTCTCCTGTGAGCATTTATCTGCAATGAATCCACCCCATCAGTGATGGATGTATCTTCCACTGCTCAGGGGAGCACTYATCCATCTCAGGCGTAAGCACAAGGTAGGTTCTGCCAGAAAGGCCTCCCCTGCTATCAGTGTTTTGGCAAAGACCACCTAGACTATGAATAAATCAGAAGGAAAGAGCACACTCTGACAGTGYACTGCCCCACAACTAACCAAAAACCCTGAGAGTGGATAAGCCAGGTCACCACAGAGGCCTGGTTGAGTGGAAAAGAGGTCAACTGCAATGCCTGCTGGTGAGAAAGCTGAAGCTGAGCTTGGGACCATTGCAGCTCAAAAGCAGACACCTCAGCACATCCCTAAAGGCACCGCTACGCTCAAAAAAGAAGGGCCTCGAGGTCTGGTGTAGAACACATGGCGAGAACATGGATAGAAGTTAAGAACCCAAGAAGAACATACCTTAGACATTAACAAATGTGAGCATTGTGCTGTTCTCTATAATGGGAAATTAAATCATTCCACAACGCTCCGCACAGAGTGTGCAGTCCAGTCAACCGACCCATGTTAAATACAACACCACACAGCAAAGATAAGGCCAGGACAAACATCACAACATGACACAATCTTTCATTAGTCAATAAGCCAAAGACAACCCATTTCCAGACTCAACAGCTGTCTTACCTGCTYTTCAGTGTACTACCTCAGTGAAAATCATCTCAAGTAGATCACTTGCTTTAAATTGTCTTTCCAACACTTTTCACACCAGGGGAAATCATCTTTTATACTCTAATACAGCAGTTAGGGCACTGCTACTGTTTTATATCAAATACACATCAAGTGTATTTGATATAGACACTTTAAAGAAATGAAAACCAGAGCACAACTCGTGAAGCACAAAGAACACAATTCATCACATGAAATGACAGCTTTCCGCGTTACTTAAGTTCTTGGTGGTGCCATTTTCTTACCTTACGTTTCATTTCATCCTCATCTTCTATCCTGGCACCACCAGCATCACTCAGGACAGGGCTCAGGAGGGGAGATGAACCCTGACCAGCTGAGTTCAAATTCACTGGAAATGCCGGGTTCAAACTCAGGGGACTCTTCAACGTGAAGGAGGAGATCTGAGAATGGTCCACAGAGAGGCCTATAAGGAGGAGATGGAGCAGAAAAGGAGAGAAAATAAAAATGATTTCAAAAAGAGTTTACTAAAACATGTCCACTATTAAACCATAACAACAACCTCACATCATGGGGAAAGAGAGACACGTCTCTACTCCTAAGGGTGTATCTCTTAAGCACGTAATTGGAGGTTTGTGAGCAACTGCTGTAGAGTGACAGTTTATATAGAGAGACACTTGAAAACTGCATTTAGGAGAACAGATAAATTATTCAGCCTGCAGGGAAAACTGCCCAAACGCCACTGTTCTTTTTTGGGTTTTTTTTTGAGTAATAGGCTACACTACATGAGATTATACGGCAGTACCAAGAACGCATCTTTTAATTTTCCTTTTTAAAGGAATTTTCTCTAAAATATTTTTCTATTTTAAAACAAGGACTCCATTCTCACCCAAAGAGAAGTCAGAACAAATGCCCGTGCCATTCTCCACTACAGAAAAATAAATTGAAAAGCCAAAGCTTGCTAAAAACGTACTCAAACTTCAAGAAATCTCCAAAATTGTGGCCACAAGGAGGAACATCTCTTGCTATAGAAAAGGAGACCAGGCACTAGAGTTCATTCCCAGGCAAGCTTCCCTGCTCCAAGCACTTCAATACCCATCGCTTTTGCCCTGCTGTTCCAACATGAAATCAGACTTGGGGCCCTCCGCTGTGTTCAGTCCCTTTGCATGAGAGGCACAAAGCAACACAGGCCAAGTTATCGAGTAAAGGCAAAATAAAATAAAAACAAAACACAAGTGCAATAGCAAAGCTGGATGTGTGAACTCATCGCTTCCCAAAGCCCAGTCTAGGGCTCAGGCCCATGAACCACATTGCTCCAAGCTCCTAAAACAACACCCCATACAGCAGCAGGGAATGAGACGAAAAATCATTTCTAAAGGRCTATTTTTACCACAAATAGCCCTCCTTGACTATCAAGCTCCCYTTCCTAAGCACGCAGGCTGCACGTGCTGGAGCAGCCGCAGCCAGGAGCTGTTTCTTCCGCTCTTGGCAGGGCCGGTGGCCGGTGCTTGGCTCGGGAAGCGAAGGCGCTTCCCGCGCAGGAAGCGGGCGCGCGTGTTTGCACATCGGCAGCGCAGGAAGCGAAACGCCGCGGCTCCTCGGTCACCTGGAAGAGATTCAGCTTATCGAGGCCGCAAAGTTAACTATTACCACACCGGGCGAGCCAAGGGCCCGCGCCTCCTGCACGCCTCCGTACTTCCCAATGCTCCCAGTGCTAACCCAAGAACAGCACCTAAGATGTGTCTCACGCGCAAGAGCGTTTATGGAGGTTACTGCTTAGGAGGTTTACGTGCTGGAGGTGCTGGAACAAGACAGAAGACAGCTTAAGAAATCAAAATCAAAAAGCCACGATGTCCATATGAGGAAGGATGTTSTGGAGCTTCTCCCAGAGCTGAACATGTGCCCAAGTGGTCACCTTTTCATCACTTCTCAGCATCTGCAATGTCCAGATACATGGGGAGAAGAAGTCTCATACTATGGATGAACACCATAGCCTGCCTCACTGCTCTAGTGTCAATCCTGTCTCCTCTGGTCTGAGAAGGTGGTCATGAAGTCCAGCTTAAACCCCTGCTCATTGGTGCCTGACATCAAGATTCTTGTTCCTCTGAAGCTGGAGTAAATTATGAAAATGAAAGGCACCTTCAGCTACTTGAGAAGCTGAGGACGATAAGCAGAAGACACGAGCTAAAGGTCTATAGCTTCTTCTGTGCCCACGTTCAGGTGGAGATAACCAGCCACTTCTCTAGGACAGCCCTGCTCTTCCCTGCCTATGGGCAGGTAAAGGCAGACACCGTGGAGCCCATCGTTTATTTCCCCAGGATCAACAAAATGAAAAATATGTCCCAACTGTCACTGTGATCTGCAGGACATAGCTCGAATGACTTCTCCAAAAGGCAGCTCTTAGGTTGCTCGAGCTCCCTCCTTTTTTTTTTTTCCAGAAGAGATGATAGAAACGTCACGTGGCAGCTCCACTTGAGCAGAAAGTGAGGAGCTCCAGACAAGCAGCCAAGCCGTAAGGTACCTTGGCATCCTCTTGGGAAAGGGCTGGTAGAAGATGACACTGTGCACCAGTCTCCGTGGTGGTTGATGCTCTCAACAGCTTCTCAAAGTGGAAAGCTCTTAATGAGGCAGAAGAGTTGATGGGAAGACCAAAACACATGRATGACTTTTGCTGGGAAGCTTTGCCTCCTCCCCAGGCCCATCCTCTAGGGTCATTAAAAGTGAATACGCTCCGTGAGCGTCATTGGGTGTTTCAGAAAGCTCCTCTCTACAGCTCTCCGTCAGGTCACGACACGAATGTGTGATCAGGTCACGACACGAATGTGTGACATGGGGCAATCTCACCTTGGGAGCTGGAAGAAGGGTTTCTATGCAAGGACATGGTGACCTGGCACACAAATGCACTGTTTCGTTCTGCAGCCAGCATATATCCTGCTTCCACATCACATACGAGTGCACGTAGCTCCATGCCAAAAACAGGGCAACCAAGTTTACTGCAGTATTCTATGTTGTCTAAATAAAGATCTTGAGGAATACCAAAGCTTCTTCATTGTGTTACTTAGTTATAACCAGATATTCAGGTTCTAAGCAAAGAAAAACACATTTTTGACAAAGACCAGCACAAATAAAAACAAAACACACCCATTAAGGCTAAGCACAAAATATTCCAACAGTGCCAAGGCCAAGTATACACAGCTACAGACTTACAGGATAACTAGCCCTCTCATTCCCACTTACTGTATAAAATCAATAAATTGTTTCGTAACTGCTTATGCAGTGTTCCTCCTTCATCTGGCTATAAAGATATGACAGTCTCTAATATATGAAAACTAGGGCTTGATACAAATGTAGGTCCCTCTGCTTTTTGCTGTGAGAAAAGCCTAGGTGTTGGGTGCAAGTTCCAGCAGAACCTCAAATACTTTCTCTGCCTGCACCAAGAGCATTATTTTTCAGCAGTCGCTGATACTCAGACACATACTCAGACACAAGGGCTTAAAGCTCCAATTCAAAACAGAAGTGTAGGTTTAGGATTTTATATGATATACAGTACTAATCACACGTAGATCATTACTGGATTATTTAATGTTTTTTTCCTCTCCTTTTTTTTTTTTTTTTATTTTAAATGCCTTAAACCAGCTGCTGTAATAACGACCTTACCTTGTATTTTCTTCAACAGCATTCAACTCCGATCCCTTTCACTGATATAAAAGTTAACTTACATTATTATTATTTTTTTCCTTTGGACCAAGTGAAATCTACTTAAATTCACTCTGCATACCCCAAATTCGTTCATAACCGCCTAGAGCTGTCCTTGCTGGAGAAGCAGCCACACGCTGCTTATTTGCTAGGCTCTCCAAAACGCTGCCCAAAGCTTCACTAAACACTTAGGGATTTTACACTGGGCTTCTCTGCCCAGCGCAAGGCTTCAGAAAAGTGGTGGGTAGCGGAGGARAAGTTTTGGAGAACTGGTGCTTGAGGCCAGGAACTACGGGTTCATTTGGAGACTTGTAGAATGGCTGAGGTGGACTAGGGCCTCTGGGGATGCCCGACTCCAAGGCCTCTGCTCCAGCAGGGTCACCCAGAASGTGCAGCACAGGAACGGGRCCAACTGGGTTCATCAGCCACTTTTAAGTCTAAATCATAAATTACAACGTTAACCCAAAGCAGATGTGGGTACCAYGTTGGGTTGAGCAGCAGGAGCACACACAGTTAGCCTCCTGATGAAGCTTCACCAGCAAAAAGAAACCGACACAGATGAGCAAAATGCAGCTATTTTCCACAAGGAGGGGAAAAAATGAGTAAGAAAAGTCATCTAGATGGCTTTTTTCTAAACTGTAACACCAACTTTTACAATTTGAACCATCAGACCCTACAGCTTCTGTTGCTTGAAGTCAGTCATGGGATGCGTTATCTCTAATAATCTATTAAAAGACGTCCATAAATTTTTTTTATATATATATGTACACAAGACATTTTTGCAACTATAAAACAAGCTAAAGTGAAGCATATTTATACAATAATTGAGACAAAATATTTATCTCCAAACAACCAAACACACAAAAGAAAAAAGAAAGATTAAAATAGTGTATTTGAATTTAAATTGTGGTTCTGGCTTTACAAGTGCCTCCAGGTTTTAGGTTTCCAGTTTTCCAGCACATCACTTACTCCTGTACTAATATAATTGAAAATGGCAAAAGTCCCCAAATGCATACTTATATACACACACATATAAACATATATGTGCACATATGCATATGGGTGTGTATATATGTTTATATGTGTGTATATATACATAAGTATACATATATATACACACACACACATATGCTTTTTTATATATATAACAATCTACATGAAGCCTTGAGCACCCCATTCAGTTATTTTTCAGAAGGTATTTCCATTCTTCAGCCTACACTATAGCACTACTGGCATATAAAGCCAGACTCGAATGCCAAGCTTGACAAAAATAAGGTGCAAGGACTGGCTGCACAAAGCTTTTCGGCTCAGTGCTTCAAACAGTTCAGGAAAAGCCACGAAAACTGGCATCTCAATGACTGCAACCATCAATTAATATATTACAAGCTACATGAAGTTCAAGCATCAGCAGTGCCATTCCTTATCAGAAGGGAGTTTCCCATGGCATCTAATTAGTAGATTCCCGTTATGAACACACACACAGACATGTATTTCTTCAAACAAAGCTAAAAAGCTCCATGCAGAGTTATCTGGAACCCAGACTCCCACTCCTGCCCAATGCCCTGCTGAACTCCTAACAGCTGCACCTCAAATTATGATTCTGCCAGTTAATGTATCCCATGCCAAATTCCTGGAATATCCCAAATCTGCCTCATTTCAAACTACTGAGTACAGTTCTCCCTGGCAAATTTTCCCTTTAACAATTAGGGAGATGGTTTGGAGGTAAAAAATCTTGAGTAGAAATTCCCTAAGAAACTTTAAATTCCCAAT